AAAACTGTATGACTTCTTTTCAGCGTGTTTAAAAATATACGTGTAAATATAGGTAAAAGGTAATGTAAATTAAAATACTTTAAAAATAAAAATATTTATTTTCAGAACAAAAAAAAATAACTTATAAAAATATTACATAGTTTTTATCTTCATACTAGACTTTTTTAACAAAACAGAAATATCGCAAGAATCTTTATCAGCCATATATCCACAGAGTCTCCTTAAAGCTTTAAGGTGGATCTTTAGTGACAGTTTTACATAAAACGACTGTAACTTTGAAAAATTTCAGGAGAATCTGTGCACAAGACCAAGTTATAAAATATACCGGATTTCGCATATCTTTTCCCCTATTCGAATGGCTTTTAACTGTTCAAAGGATTGAAATAGAAGTATGGTCTTTTCATTAGTACTATGAGATTTATGTCATATATCTTTTTAAATAGGTTAACATTACGTTGTTATAAAGCCTAAGTACCTTTCAGTAAATTGAAAAATATAAGAGTGATACATACGGTTGAAAAATTCTACTTGCAATGTTTGGAAAAAAACCATTTGAAATTGATATTTCCAGTAAACGTAAAAACACATTTTAATACGACGAAGCTTTTTTCATTTGCAGAATCCGTTAGAAGTCATTCAAATATATAGCAAAAATTTAAGTGGAGATAAATTCAATCTAAATATAGATTTTAAAATAAAAAATATTCTTTCAATTATTTAATTGATTTGAATTGATTCTATTACTTATGTAAAAGAATCTATTCTTTACATTAACATCAAATTTTGACTACGGAATAACGAAAAAATAATTTGTTCCGTAATGATGTTCCAATATTTTAACAGGGTGGTCTACCAAGCATTTAAGGAAGGGTTTTCTTACAAAATTTTACAATTTTGGTCTCTTCTGTCAAGACAATGACATTAAAGTTTCAAATTGGCAAAAAAAAATTTTTTTTTTAAAAGTTAGTCTTAGGAATTGACATAAATGTGATTTTTTGACAAAGCAAAAAATAACAGCCGCCTAATACGTTTTGTAGTAATCAATGACGCCAATTTTATTAAAAAGTCAAGTGAAATTATTTTAATTTTTTGTATGTTAACTGTTGAATGTACGAAAAAAGTGCGTGTAGTGTTGAAAATTTTGTTGGAATTGGCTTTTAACGAAAACAGTTCTGAAAGAAATGAAAAAAGAGCTTGCTAATCTATACCCTTCACAAACATGAACTGAAAGAAGAATTACCATCACAAAATAGGATTCGACTAGCGGATAATGTGTATTACCAAAATTCTTAGTCAAATGTTAAAAAAACTAATTATATTTGCCATTTTCAAAATGAAATATCTCGATAGAAAGGATCCAAATTGCAAAATTTTATATGAAAACTCCCCCTTAATTGATTGTTAAAATATTGGAATATCATTACGGAAAACCCTGTATATCGGGCATGTCCAATAAAATATTCTGATTATTTTATTATTGAAAAAACTATATATTTTTTTAAACCTGAACCTTTTTGCTTAGCTCATTTAAAAATATATTGATAGTTGGAAGTACCATATCATGTTGGGTTTTAATATCGAAAAAATAAATTTGTAAAAATTGCCAGACTGCTACACATTCTAAGGGATAACTTAAATTAAAAACGTGATATAGTTGAAGGCAGCAATTTAGAGCCGAAATTGGGGAAAAAAAGCTATATTTAATTTGATCACAACATACCAAGTATTGTTTGGGGTGAAATAAATTATCATCATAGATTACTACTAGGTGGGGTTGAATGGGTAACTTTTTACTTTTTAGTAACAAAAGTTTAGTTTCGATTTCGGCTAAACTGGCACCTGTTACCATAAAAGCATCCTGGGAATCACTTATTGTGTACTTGATTAATACTTTCTTAGTACCTACTTTTTCTGTCTTCTTGGATGTTGGCACAATAGCTGCGTGAAGGAGGAAGATAATGGCAACATTTCGTCCATCTACAATAAAAATATAGATAATGTAATACTAAGGAGAAAAAAAAGCATGCGAACTAAATTAACATCTTTTCTTGTCTGAAACTCGGAAGAAGTACGAAGAACGTACCTAAATTTCGAGAATTAACCCACAAAATCTTTGCAACTTTTAACTTTAATATAAAGTTGATAGAGTAATTTGGGCTCTTGAATGTTGTCTCTAATTACGTTTAAATATATTATCAACAAACCTTCAGAAATATTTTCATATTCAGATTTTAGATTTTCCAAAAGCAGTCGACATTTCTTTTCTTTAATTTTAGTACTAAAAATATCTAATGCTGCTTCGACAAATAAATTCCACTTCAAATATATGCTGCTTGCAGCAGGAAATAAATATTGGAAATCTATTTCTATCTAAAACAGAAAAATATTTGAAAATTATTTTATAGAACAAATTCAAAATATAAATTCCTACCAAGGTGTATCCCAGTGGGTGTCTATACAGGGGCCATTCGGTTAAAATCGTTACTATGTTTTTGCTATCGTCTTCGACCAAAAATCTTCTTCGGTAATTTTGGCACTTTGTCCAAAAATTTTTAATTTCCTCCCATCGTTCCTCCTCCTGTATATATTTTAATTTTTCCTTTATAATTTCAGCATCTTCTTTAGACTCAGGAAGAACTGTCAAAAATATTGAATTAACGATAAATTCATAAAACCTGTCTTAAAGTAATAAAAATACCTAAAGATGACTCTGTATATACTTTTCTTTTGACCAGGGGTCCCTCCAATAGCCCACTAGATTTTAGTTTTCTTGTATTGTTATAATATTTGGCCAAAAGTTTTCCCTTTGGGGCCTTATTTTTTTGAGGAGCGAAATAGTATTCCTGAAATAATAAAAAAGTTATTTTACAACTCATTTTAATCATTTATCTTTATATATATTTATATTTTAAAATTATGAGTATATTATAATAAGTACCTTGACTTCATATGGGAATAAGATTTTAATTTGGTTAGCTATAGTTCCGGCTACTGACACGCTCATTTTTTTATTGTTTTGGATAAAGTGGTCGACGATTTTATCCACCAAAATTTGTCGATGAGGTTCTGGCAGTTCTGTAACACCTCTTTCACACATTTTTAAAATTGATTTTCCCTCGTTGTATTCTTTTAAAATGGACTTTAAATCAATCTAAAATGCAATGATTTGAATTATTAATAATTATATTATAGTTCAACTTATTTACCAGTTCAGAGATACAGGTATTATCTTCGAAATCGCAAACATTGCTTTTTTCGTTTTCTTTATTTTTACTTTCTTCCTTACTTTCTTTCTTACTTTCCTCTTTGCTTTTCTCCTTACTGTCCTCCTTACTTTCATTGTGTACATATGTACCCTAAAAAGTATAAACAATAAGCATTAGGTGTATCCAAAAAAATTTTTTAATAAAGAAAACAATATAGATGATTTAACTTACTACAGATTTCTGCCACTCAAAAAGGTAGTGCTCGAACTTAACTTTTATGCCCCAAGGAAATTTTTTTAATAAATCTTGCAAATGATGAAGTCTCGCATGTTTGAGAGATTGAAGATCAACTTTATTAACTAAAAGGAAAAATAACTTAAAATTAATTAGTATGATTTTTCCATTAACTTACTACAGAAATGTTCTTCCAATTCAGATAAACCCCAAGCTTTTAGTAAAGTTGATACAGTATCTTGACGATCCAAATTGAGTACTTGTTTTTCTGGCAGGCAAGGCTCTAATTCTGTGCTGTTGTTTAGTACATTTACAGCTTCAGATAATATACCTGACGAAATAAGAGTGTCTGTTCCAATAAGAGAATAGTCCCAAGAACTGGTACTTGGAAAGTCCATTATCTAAGATCTTGTTTAAAGCTATTTTATACAGTGATCAGGCAATGGTAAGTATATATTTATCACATACTTCAAGTATCTGGATGAGTTAGATTTTGATTTTATTAAATAAAAGTACATTTTAATAAAATTTCAAATTTAAAGGAAATAATTAGATAGCAACAAAAATTAAACAAAAGCAAGATCTACAGTTGATACATTGCAAATCAAAACTTGTACTGACCTATTTTTCTAATAATATTGTATACGGGGTTAGTCCAAAGTTTCAGAATAAATTATGGAAGTAATTTTGTTAAAAATTGGTATGAATATGGGCATGACTTCTCTCGACATCATTGCTTATGCAAATTTTGTTACAAACAATTACAGACATTTCAAGACACGTTAATAATAACTACCTTATTTATAACATTTTCGCTTTTATTTTCGGATGCAGAACAAAAAATTACCGTTAACAAAAAGTCAATAAGTATATCCTTAAAAACGGAAACAAACAAAATATTTAAATAAATCATTATATTCTTAAAAACGAACCGGACGCGAAAAATACAGTGTGGAACAGCCAAATGGAATAAATTCACTAGCTCCATTATTATGCATTAACATCTGCTGCATTGATAATGACTTTTTTTATTACATTATCATTACAAAATTTCAATATTTTATCACGCCTCAACATCTTGGCAGCACTCTAGACGTAAATACTTCATTTTTTCTTGTTAATTTCTAGAATAAAATATTAAACCATAGTAATTTTGAAGAGATAATGAAAAGTCCTTTCAAATGAAGTATCACAAGCCCCTACTCCAATTTGAAGATTTATGGGGTTGCAGCTGTCATCTGGAATGGGTTAAATTTAGGGATGTCATTTTTACGTAGAAAGATGTCATTTTATAATAATTAGAAATTGAAGTGTCTCAGGATTTTCTAGAAAAATTCATAGTAATGGAGCTACTGAATTTATTCCATTTGGCTGTTTCACACTGTATATTAATACAAATAAAAAATATGTTTTTTAAATATTAAAGTTATTTGACCGTTCCTGGTCTTTTTATTAACCCTGTATATAATTTCTGCAATGTTTTTTATTTTCACAATTTACATATTATATTAATGAAATAAATAAAATATTCTATACACTAATTTAAAATATTAAATAGTCTTACAAGAAGTATTCTTTTAATCTTATAAATTTCCTAGAGTTAACAATTTTATTGATATGAATGGGAGGCCCGGAAACATAATTTTTAAATTTAATAATTTTTTTAGACCATTCACTTGCCTCTTTTAGTTCATAAGCACAAAAATGTAAGTCATAATCCGGTTCAGTTTCTTCACAAATAACATAAACTTCTTTATCCAAAGTTACAGCAAATTCTATAATTTTATACAAATATAAACTTTCATGAAATTTTGAAAAATAATCATTTTTTTTATAAAGTATATCCATATATTTTACTTGACTAAAAAATTCAATATTTTGATGTTGTAAGCTGTTGAAGACAAATTCTTTATAGCAAGACTCAATTTTATTGATAAAAACAAATTCATCTTCGTATAAAAGACCTTCATTTATTTGATGAGCAAATTTAAGCTGATATTTATTAGCTAATGTAAGAGGAATATTAATCCTTGAATTTATTATATTAGCGTATCTTTTAAATTCTTTATGTTTCGACTCGAATATAAAACACCAATAAGTCCTTGGAGGACCAGAGTACTTAATAATTGTTGGATAATGTAGAAGAAAGTGGTGCTTCGGTTTTAAGGTGTCTTGAAAAAGTTGACAATACATATTTAGGTGCCTTCCAACCAAAAGCTCTAACCGTTTTAAATATTCTGTAGAAATACTGTGTGATAAAATAATATCAATTATTTCTATAAATTCTATTAAAAAAATCCAAATCTCATGATTTTCTGGTACTAAATCACCCAAAATCAGAGGGAAGAAATGAACAAAACACATCATTTCCCTTGCAGACATTTTTAAATGATATTTATGTAGATGGTGTTTTTCAATTTCAGGAGAAATATTTCCTATTTCTGTACGACCATAATCAAAACATTGTTTTCGAATATTAACCTCTTCTAAAGTAAAAAGTTGTAGAGTTTCTGTAAAATATATTATAATTTGGCATAAATTATAATGACATATACCTTCAAATATGTCATGCATAACATCAACTGAAAAATTAGTTACTACATGAAATGAATCAATTTTGTTTAATGCACAACTGTTCTTAATCCCTGTTTGAGAAATATCATTTAAAGCAATATCGATCTCGTAATTACTTTTGTTTCTCAATAGGGTTTCGTCAATTTTATTAGTTACCTGGCATTTCTTTTTATGCATTTTACAAAATCTACAAAAATAGTTGGAAATGAAACTTGTTGTAAACCCTAAAATACTATTTATACCTAAATTATCTCCCAATACAAGTCCTAAGACAAAATAAACTTTAATTAATATCTTTAGATTTTGATTTTATCACCAAACCTTCATTTTGCAAATAATTTAATTCACTTACAAGTGATTCAAGACATTTGTTACTGCCAAACATTTTGATATCAGATGTTTTAAAAAGACCAGCCAGGTATATATCATTTAATTTATGACATTTACCAAATATCGGAAATGAGTAGTATATTGCTGTCATGGCTTGTCTATTAGATTGACTTCCTAAAGGATTATTTATCTCAAAGTCGTCTGCATATAAAAAGTATGGTAAAATAATTTTGTCCTTGTAAAGTTGTAACTTTTCTTGCCATAATTTTCCTTGGGTAAAACAACAAAGTAAACTATTATTATTTGTATCCTGTAAAAAATCTAACCATTTATCTAAGTTGTATATATTTTCGAACGCTACCCTAAATTGAAATCTTAATGGTAGTATTAAACCGGTCTTTGTTTCAGTACCATAAAAAAATTCACCTTTTCTGCTCATAGGAACAACACCAGTTTTAATGATACATTTTGAGCTATTTTCTAATAGTCCCTTTTCTGTTAATAAAGAATTTAACTTGAACTCAGTTTTACACAATTTAAATGGATCTTTTAGTAAATTTAAAATTTCATTTAGGTCCAAATGATTTTTTTCAAAATTTTGGATACGATTTATGAGTAATTTTTGAATAAATCCAATTATAGAATCTGTAATAAATTCTGTTACATTGTTTTGAATTACAAAGACATCTTTCTTACTAAAATTATTCATGTTGTGAAGACTTAAAGTAAAATTTAAAACTGTATTTCTAATACTTTCCAAGTGCTCATTTACATTAAAATTGTCACTGCTGCCACTAGAAGGGTTAGCTAGAATATTGTCATAAACAGTTTCAGTTGGACATATTTCAATGGCGTAATTTTTTTTTGATTCTTGAGTAATTTGTGAAGATATTGAACTTATCTGAGTAATTACAGTACATTTTTCTTCAATCTCATGTTTTTTCTGTACATGTTTCTTAAAACTACTTAGATTGGGAAACGACTGAGAACATGTTCCTTCTAAACACGTGATTTTGTCATTAGTTTTTAAATTATGAAATAATTTAAAATGCCTTATTAATGTGTATAGATCTTGGAAATTTTTTTTACAAATAAAACAAATCATATTTAATCCAGATAGCTTGTATGTAAATGCTGAACAACCCTGACCAACTCTTCAAAAATAATGATATCTCTGATATTTAATTTTGGCTCTTCAGAGCAGAAGTCCTTGATATGGCGTGGCTTCAAAAATAAATATGTGTCTACGTATATTTTATTGTCTAAAAAAAAATAATTATATGGTATAAATTAAGTTAAACAATGACTCAAAAAATAGTAGCTAATTATATATCGTAGTATAGGATGTATTACCATATTACCCTTTATATTATAAAAAAATAGGAAGGTAGAAGCTATCTACAATACATGGTTGGGATTTGGCTCTTGGGGCTAGGGCAATTATTCTTGTCGGGATATTAAGACCAAATTTGGTATATAGATGTATTACCCCATAAATATGAAAATCGCTTATAAAATATTTATTTTCACCTGTTTCATTTAAAAAGTTCTAACTGCCTTTTTGTCATTTCCATTTCCCTTTAGGGGATGTTGGGGGTAAGATTTTTATATAAAAACGTTGTAAATCAGGTCTATTGTAAATGTGTCCAAAAAATTATATCTTCTGTAACTATTTTTAAATGCCAACCCCACATCAGAAGTATGTCCAAAATACTTTTTGGAAAATTTTTACAAAAAATATTGAAATTTTGGGTATATACAGGGTGTCCCGACGAGAAAATGTCGAATACAAAAGTTTTACGGTCTACGGAGGCACCTATATTACAAAAATATTCACCAATATACAGGGTGCTCCCAAAAAGCAAGGCGACATAAAAAATATTTTTTCAAATTTTTGAGTTCTTTTTAAAAAAACAAGTATTTTTGTCCAAAACACCATATTTTAAAATTCGATTGTTTTTAAGCTTTTGATTTTCGAAATTTGACTTTTTCACAATTTGACAAGCTGAAGCACCCAAACGCTTGAAGTTAGGGAAAAATAGAGTACATGTCCCTATATTGTTTTTTCATATTCTATCCACATTTGCAAACTTTTGGATTAACTGAATCTAAAAAAATCCTACTTCCGGTTAAGCCGCATATTTGTATAAAGCATAAAAAATTAAGATAGGGACATGTAAGCCCTTTTACTCTAATTTTAACCGTTTTAGAGCTATAGCTTGTCAAAGTGTGAAAAAGTCAATTTTCGAATGTCCAAAGCTTGAAAACAATTGAATTTAGACATATGGTGTTTTTGACACAAATACTTAAATTTTTTAGCAGAATTAAAATACAAAATAAAATATAGGGTGTTTCATTTGAAATAAATAATTTTAATGTTACTTTGATTGTTGGGGGCACCCTGTATATTATAAAATATTTTCACAATAGGTGCCTCTGCAAACCATAAAACTGTTGTATCTGACTTTTAATCGTTTCAAAAACAAGAGATATTGGACTTCTACACACTAATGGGACATCCTGTATATATGAGATAATACCCTCTCCATTTTCACTTAGGGGATGTTGGGGTTAAGATTTGAAAATTAGGAATATTGTAAATAAGCTAAAAACTGTATGTCCCATAAATATGAAAATCGCATAAAAAATTCGCCTGCCCCCCTACCCCCTATCTGATGTGGAGGGATTGTCACCCTCAAAAAATAAAGTAACAATATTGTTAATAGAACAGTTTCAATCTGCGATTTTTTCTACATACTACAACCCAAAATATAATTTTTTTTTTAAATTGGACCTGAACGATCATATTTCAGATGTGGGGGTTGGTATTTAAAAATAGTTACAGGGGATAAAAATCTTATTTTTGTCATATTTACAAAAGAACTGATTTACAAAGTTTTTGTATAAAAATATTACCAATACCATCCCCTAGAGGGAGATGGAGGTGGTGGCATCCCTAAAAAATCAAGTTAGAACTTTTTAAGAGTATAACAGTTAAAATCTATACGTACATACTCAAAAGTTTTATTTTTTTGACAATATTTTTGTTTCCTTTTTACTTGATTTTTTTGTGGATGCAACCCCTCTAGGGGATGATAATGATATAATTTTTATACAAAAACGTTGCAAATTAGGTCTATTGTAAATATGCAAAAATAAGATTTTTAGCTACTTTGTAACTATTATTAAATGCCATCCGCAACATCCAAACATAAAGAAAAAATCGTAGTTTTCAACTGTTATATTTAAAAATTTCTAATTTGGTTTTTTGGGGACGTCACCCCCTCCATCTCCCTCTAGGGGATGTTAGTGGTAAGATTTTTACACAAAAATGTTGCAAATCAGGTTTATTGTAAATATACCAAATATAAGATTTTTTAGCTCCTCTGTAACTGTTCTTAAATGCCAGCCCCTACGTCCGAACTATGATTGTTCAAATTTTGGCAAAAATGTTATCAAAAAAAATTGAAATTTCTGGTTTGTATGTAAAAAAAAATCGTAGATTGAAACGGTTTTATTAACAAAATTTTAACTTTATGTTTTGAGGGTGACACCCCTTCCATATGAGATAGGGGGTAGGGAGGGCGAATTTTTTTTATTCTGTTTTCATATTTATAGGACAATACATCCATATACCAAGGTTGGTTTCAATATCTCAACCCGAACTGCCATAGCCTCAAGAGCCGAGCCACAAAACATTTTGTTTAACAGTACTTGTGTTAAATGTACAGTGGTATTGTTAATTTGATATTATTTATATTGGCACATTATTATTTGATAGATCTCTACGCCTTCGTGACAAAGTAAATTTAGGCTTCAACCCCTTGAATTGTACATATTAATATGCTATTTAGATGAACACCACTATAATTACGAATTATAATTAACATCTATTATAATTTTTTCCTACTACTGTAAGTTCATTAAAATAGGTACTTACCAACACATTTTTGGCTAAGTTTCTCCACTTCCAGAATACCAATTTTTTTAAAAATTGTTTTTAAATATTGTTTATTTGTAAAGGTACCTTTTTTAATTGTTTTTATAACCATTAGAGCAATGAACAATAACCTATCACAACGTATACACATCGCACAACAAAACACTAAACCGAGTTATCGAACTAAAACATAAAGATGCGTTTTATACGTTCGTTACCTCATAATATTAGATACCTTATGTTAAAAGGGCATAAGCGAAAAAATATTTTAACGTAGAAAACAAATCGTTCCCATCTTTAAATCAAGTCCGGGAACTCTGACGAAATTTTGTTTTTCTGAGTTTAACAGAACTTCTGTTAAGTTTACAGTGGCGTTGTTAATTTTATATTATTTAGATTCCTGTAACACTTCCGATTTTATATCTTTACAGTTCAACTAATGCTACTATCTTATTTCTATTATTTTAACAGAATATTATTGTATATTTTTTAGTACGGGTTAATTATTATTGTTACATTAGATCTGTAAAATAAACAATAGTTTATGTAATATTAACAAAGTATAATTTAGTTGAACATAAAATAATATAAATATAATAATACTCTTTTTGTTACAGTAATAACATTTTGGTCAATAGCTGACAGAAATTTGCTATTATGTCAATGAAAGATTACTATACGTTTGATAAAATTCTATCCCCTGGACAAAATATTTATCATTAGTTTGATAATGTAGACTTTATTATATAAATCTAACACGTTAGTAACAATGAAAACGAACTATTATATCAACAGTTTTTTTTGTAATGATTATAAATTTATGTTAAATTAATAAAAAGCATTCTTTAAAACCTTAACAATAGTTATTTTGTTAATAGAGCATATATAATTTTTTGAGTGTATACTTAAGGAAAATAAGCAATTTTACTCCATATTTCAACAAATCACCTGGTGACCTATTTTCAAACTATTTCAAATGATTTATCTCATAAGAAATGTCATATGTCAGCGTCAAAACAGTATTTTGAAAGCCAGTAAGAAGTAAAATTCTTAGGAGTATATTAATTCTCCCAAAAAAACTGAGAAAAACAGTTAGTTTTCACTGGTTTTAAAAATACTATTTCCACGTTGACGTATGATACTTTTCATGAAAATATTGAGAGAAATGAGTACTGCCATAGTTTTAAAATATGACTCTCGTTTGTTTATTACAATTTCAAACATTTCAAATGATTCGAATGATATTGGTATAATTGAAATAATTCGGATAATGGTAATAATGGAATATTCGAATGATTTACCATTCGAATGATCACATCACTACTCGTTGGTGGAAGATCCATAAATATTTTTAAAGCTCTTTGTATGTCTGGATAAAATTCACAATGTTTGGACGCTATATCATTGTGTGCAGAGAGCTCTTTCGTATTCCAGTTAGCTATCCACGTTTGATATTCAGCTTGTCAATTCCAAATTTTTACACTATTTTCACTTTCTGACCGGCAGTGAAAAAGTATTATTTTTTATGTTTTTTGATGTAACAGGCTTAAGGAAAAACTAACACTAGAGTCTTCGGAAAAGAGGGATGTAAGCGACGTAATAAGAGAATCCAGATATGCAATAAATACAGGGTGTCTGTAAAACGTCTTTACAAAAACATACCACATATTCCTTAGACCAAAATAAGTCGATTTAAGTAAAATTACCTTAGTACAAAGTTGCTTCGTTTGGGCTCCAGAGGGCCTTGAAGTTACAATTTTTAAATCGTTTTTCCCATATAAATTTAAAACGGCATATGCGATTTTACTGAAATTGGTATATTGGTAGAGTTTTATGTGGCAAAAAAATGGTATTAAAATTTTGTCCGATAATAATACATAGGCGTAGAACTTGATTTTTTATATAATTGCACCTTTAAAAATTCTACGCCAATGGAAGAAAAGGAGTTTATGTATGAAATTTAGATTGCGCAACTCATTTACTTTAAAAAAGATACTCTTGATAAGACTCGATTACTCTCATGGTTTTCGCTAAATTTCTGTTTTAATAATTTAGAGTGTATAGGTCTCACAAAAATATTTATTTACAACATAATCAAAATAGAGATTTTACAAAAATTGTTCAAAATCTTCACCATTTTCACGCATACAAAGATTTATACGTCG